CTGCTATGACGTCAGCACGGGCGGGTCTCATTTCGGCGCTTCATACACCAACCAGGTTGGGCTGGTGGCCGTGGTATACGTATGTACATATGTTAAGTACTTAAGTAGGTAGGTACGGAGTAGTCAGGGGAAGCAACGCCGTCGAGTGTGAATTGGGGCCGGTTTAGCCGTGTATTCCCGTGGGCTTGATTCTGCACTAGTACTCCATAGTGGCAGTGTGCCGCCGTATTGGTGGTGTGCTTTCGTTTGGTCACGATGCCTGGCCCTGCCAAACACTGTGCTGATTTGCCCATCTTGGTCCGATGGGTATTTCATTTATTAATCCCGATACGCGTTCCAAAAGGCCAAAACCGCGGTGGGTATCCTCGGCCCTTTGGTTCGGGATACACTTTCAGGGCCGTGGTGGTCCGCTTGGTCCTGCAGACAAGGATGGGCACGTTTGACGCAGTCGGAAGCTGTCAGTCTAATTCCGGGGGACACAAGGGCGCTTCCAAGACTTTGATTCTCAGGGCTCCCGAGCAGTTTTCTCTCTGGGCGTGTTTAGCCACGTCTGCTTTGTCTTTCATCCCGTGGTGAACTGACGAGGCTGCAGAGTTCCATACCAGTCCCAGGACAACTGGTTGGCTGGTATGCCAAGGGGCGAAGGGCCAGCCAACCCGGAGCAAATGCCTTGGCCTTTTCGAAAGATACGCAGAGGACCGGCGTCTCGACTGGTTCCAGCGGGTGCAATGTCAGCTCATTGTATTTACCCAGCTCAGGAGGACAAGGGGCGCAGATACGAATGGAATTTTTCCCTGGCCTCTGCGCAGGACATTGGCCCGGTTAATGGGAGCTGTAGCACCTGGGAGATAGACTTTCGGCCCCAGCTTGCAATGTAGAGGACTAGGTGCTCTCGAGGCATCTAATAGGCTCTCCTCATTCGAGCCGAGGAGCCACGTTGTCGCCATAATCTCAATATACGGGGCCGAGAAGATAGTTTCAAAAGTCTAGACAATCACACTGAACTGGTTCGAGAAGGGCCGAGCATGCCTCTCTTAGATAATTGCTGCTCGTCTGTTGAATTCATAATCCCAGCATCCACCACTCTACCACTCGTCTACGGGGTGATTCCCGGAGAGAATGCCCGCCAAGGGAAGACAAATTATCCCATTGCGGTGTCTCCATCGTCTTCAGAGTCAGTTTCCGGCCCTAAAGCACAGAACATGATTCATATTAGGAAGTAGGTGACCCCGTCTTGGCCTGGAATTGGGTTATAGGGCGTGAGACTTTCGGAGAGCTTTGAGTCAAGGAACCGATTGCCGACGAGTTATTTCTCCGCGAGTTGTGTCCAGTTGCCTGTCATATCCGCGACTTCCCATACCAGAGGCGCATCTCAGGGAGAAGCGAGAACCAGAACGGCCAATTCCCTCCCCTGTAACCTTGTTTGGGCAAGAGTTGAGTTGGAGTTCCTGAGGAGAAAGGGAGAACCCAGACAAGGTACCAGGCTGTGGCGCGGTATGGCTGTCGTATCTGAAGCATGTATACTTGGCGCTTAGCAGATTAAGTTTTCCAGATGCTGTAATCGCTGCTTACCGGTCCCTCGAAACGATATTGTCGAGCCATAAGCTTTCCCTTGTTCTCTTCTGTTGGCGGAATGCCCCGAGCCAAGCAGGAAGCAGGGAACGTCTACCTCGACCGTGGGAACGGCAAAGGAATGCACATCAACAGCATCCGCTGGGAAGGCAACGGTGGTAGGCAATCGTCTACAGATACTCGTAAGCCCTGTAGCCGTAATGCTGTGTCCAATTCGGTGTCCTGATTTCACCCGACGCCCTAGTTCACGTGCCCCAGGGTGGTGGAAGGCTTTCAATGCATTTCTTGAAGACGTCCAAGGGCGGCAATATTGACAGTATGCACTGCTGCGAAGGGTTATGTGTGGGCAAGGGTATATTGGGTCTGTAATGGACTATTCGCTTGTGGGATTGTACGTTTGTAGGGTTGAAGGGTGACATGTGTCAAGGGCTGTTGAAAAAAAATAATGGCAGATGCAGCTATCGTCGTTTCTGGCGGGGAAAAGGCTCTATTGGAGTTGCCCCTTGCAAGGGGATCGTTCGTTTGTCGCCCTCGTTGACCTACCAGGTGATCAGTCAGCCTAGTATTCTGCCTACAGCCTCTCGCTGGCTTCAATCCTACGAATCTAGTTCGCTGTTTTATGGCCATTGCTGATATTTTTGATCAGTTGGAGTTGTGTCCCTGTTGTTCAGGCTGCATGTGTTGATGACGTTTGATTACTCGTTGGTAATGGAGTTGTGAATTCGATGCCGCTTTGTATAACTGCGCGAAAGACAACCTCCACCAGATATCTCGACGACGCATGAGAAATATATCATCTACTTCGACACTACCTGTCATTCATATTTCAACATACCGTAAAGATATCTCTCCCAAGGCCACCAGACACATGGGTCGATTCCAAATATAGACTACCCTGTACCTTTTACCAAAATGCGAATCCTATTGAATGGAAAGGTAGCTTCGAAATAGAGCTCTTCAATGCTTGTAATATTCCCAAGTCAGACGAGGCACTAAAATCCACGGCGGTATTCTACTGTTGAGCAATATCTACGGCAACTTATGAGATGTTTTCCTCTCGAGGAAGCGGAAACACCAGTCGCGGCACCTCCATGGAGAGGAACAGAGATGATTGACTACCGCATTGCCCAATATTCGCCGCTAACACGCTTTTGCAGTCGCAATACCGACCATATGCGAGCATCTCCAGGGATAGTCGTCTCTACCAACACCGGATTTATCTTAGTCACGTTCACTCGTCATTAGGCAACATAGTGTTTGAATAGGTTGAAAGATTTATCATTTAGACCATGACCATTATATCTCGTGGCCCCAAGTCAAGATGCCCTAACCGGCCAACCATGCAATGAAACACAATGGATAGTGACTCCGCGCACCGCACTTTTCAGCCCTCGTAAAAACATCCTCCTTAGTATCGCTTGCCGTCCCGCAGGGTATCCGCAAACTCCTCCAGGGGACTCCGGATGAGCTTGGTCTCCTTCCACAGGTTGGGCGTGAGGAAGCCGTAGGTGTTGGAGACGGCGACAAAGGTAGCCTTCAGAGTGTTCTCGAGGGTCTTAGTGGAACCGGCGGACGATGTGTAGGCGTCCTCGACACCAGCGAGCTGGAGGAATCGCTTGACAGCGGGGGAGGCAACGAGGCCAGTACCACGGGGGGCGGGGATTAGCTGAGACAAGAACGGTTAGCTGATGATTCCATCTTTCTATTGCAAATTTCCCCTCTGGCACGCCAAATTGATCATATTGAGCTCGCCCACGTGTATCGTGATTGAGGCCAAGAGATGACTCGGATGGGTAGGCGTGTACGTACTCGGACAGTGACGGAACCGCACTTGCCGCTCTGCTTGGAGGGCAGGGAGTGAGGAGCACCGAGGTTAGTACCCCAGTAGCCTCGTCGGACAGGGATGACGCTGAGCTTGGCGATGATGATGGCGGCACGGATAGCAGTGGCCACTTCCTTGGAGGTCTTGATACCCAGACCGACGTGGCCCTCGGAGTCACCAATGATGACGACGGCCTTGAATCGGGTTCGCTGACCGGCGCGGGTCTGCTTCTGGACGGGCTTGATCTATTTGGAGAGAAAATCCATGTCAGTCAATCAGATATTTCTCTTTGCGTTGTGACCCGGTATTTGCGCGCATTGTCCTCGCCAAATGCAATCCTGTAGCATCAATATATCAGCCATACGGAGTCCGAAAGGACCCAAAACCTCTGATTTTTGTATGCTCGCTTCTTTCAGGATTGCATTGTCGGACAATAATCGGGCAATGTCGAATCGGGGCAGTTGTCGCCATGTTTTGCTCGTTTCTCGTACCTTCATGACCTCATCCTTCAGCTTCGGGAGGAAGTTGTCGACAATCTGGAACTCCTTAATGGGCAAGGAGTGCAGGTAAATCTCCTCCATGCTGTTGATCTTGCCAGCCTTAACCAGTCTGCCAAGCTTGGTGACGGGCTGCCACTCCTTTTCCTCGCTCTTGCCGCCACGGCGTCCACGGCCACGGCCACGACCACGACCACGGTCACCACCTCGGGATCCGAAACCACCGCCACGTCCACGGTCAGCCATTGTGATTGATGTGTTTTGCGGTTGTCGTCGAAAAAAATAAAATTCGGCGTGGGCGCTGGTGTCGTCGCTGGGTGATGTTGGGGGTAGAGATCCGGTGGTGCTGGCTGGGTAACTTTTCCGCAGGCTGCTGGCGGGGTGGGCTGGCAATCCAAAATCCAGGTTTTTTCCAGGTGCGCTTGGGTTAGCCGAGCCCTAATGCGCCTTTTGTGGCCAATAATCTTTGTGCCTGGTGTATGAGGAGAGAATAAGTGGAAAGTGGGTCTTTTCTCCTTCACCACGGTGAGCGCCGGGAAGTACTAATTCACATGGTGGTGGGTCTCAATGTCAACAAGAGAGTGATAAGATAAAGGAAGAATACTGCTATGATGACAGGAGGTAGACACATAGATTGTACACAGGCACAGAGCAAAAAGCTATGGCAAACCCTGATTTACATGCTATTGAAATCTTTTCGATTTTTTTTTTCTTTTTTGGGAATTTATTGAATTCGTCCACGCAAGCGCACTTCACAAATATAAGACACCCCCAATACTCATACAGAACTGCTCAAGCTGAAGATGATCAGAAGTCGAAAAAACCGAATGCGAGTAGAGCAACACCTAGAGCAACGCCAAATGCAGAAATCTCAGGCCAATATCATCCAGTTGGGTAGTAGGGCATTGTAGGGTTGGGGTTCCAGCCTATTTTTTGCCCGATGCATACCAAAAAGTAAACAACCGCCAAAGATGCAACGTTTACACTTATGACTCAGTCTTCAAAATCAGATTGTCAGACGGTCTGACTCGCTGAGCCCATTCGCTAAGTTTGAAATGTTAGCATCTCGTCGAAAAAGAGTCTCGATTATAGGTCAACGAAGGTAATACTCACGTCCAGCTTCCATCGTATACCTTCCGTGACTCGGGTGAGCCGTATCCTGCAACGTCCAAGGCAGTCTCAATAATACACGCAGTGACACCGGTGCCACAGCTCGAAATGATGGGCTTGTTAGGATCAACGCCCTTGCCTTGTAGTATGCTTCGCAATGTCTCGGGTGATGGGAAAGCTTTAGTCTCGGGATCCAGAAGAGCACTGAATGGTAAGCTCATGGAGCCAGGAAGATGTCCTGATGAGAGACCCTCCCGCGGTTCAGGATCCTTACCCGAAAATCTTCCACTTGGCCGAGCATCGAGAACTTGGACACCCTCAGCGCCCTCCTTATTGAAATCCAGAGCGACCTCCTTGACCTGCTCAAAGCTAGCCACCTTGCTCTCGTCAAGTTTGGGGATAGGATACTGGCAGCACTCCACACTGTAAAGCTCCCCTGACTCAGTAGGCAAGCCTTCTTCAACCCACAGCTTGAAGTTGTTCAGAATATGAACATTGGGATGTCCAAAGATCTTGAAGGTCCAACCGACTCTGGGGGCACTAAAGATGCCCAGCTCTTTTGAGTCGTATACAACCACAGTATCCTCCTTTCGAATGCCCAACTCGCTCAAAGCAGCTGCAAACGCTTTGGCGTCAGGAAGCATGTGTGGGTAGGGGCTCCGCTTGTCAATAGCTTTATCTAGATCGAAGAATCGAGCCTTGGGAATACGCTGCTCTCTAAAGACCTGGATACCGGATCGTTCATCGTTGGGCAAGAACCAGGACGCACACAGAGGAATCACTCGAGGATCGGTGCTGATTGGCGATGGAGGGTTTTTCTTGAGAGCTTCATGAAGCTCTTTTGGTGTGACGAGATAAGATGAGAAGCCCCTGCCAAGCGCCATGGCTGAATGTATATTTCTGGCCCTCCACGAAGAAAGACCAACCCGGGAGCTACGGGCAACAGCTGCAAAGGCCATGACAGACGTCTCCGACTCCTCGGCGTAGAAAAACGGTTGTCAGTCCCACAGTCCGAGGACTTGAAATGTCGGCAACAGCAGCGCTTTAGGCACGGGCTGTCGGGAGACTTTTCAGCAACCAGGCAGTTTGATATCTTGAATTTCACAAAGCGATATCGGATGACAGTTCACACCCGCATACCAGTAGCATGCGGTTTCAGATAGGAATACAACGACAGAAGAGAGAAAGGCTTTGCAGGCGAGATAATTGCAAAAAGAGGAGACGGGGCTTGAGAAGAGGAGGCGAGATGGTGTGGTGATGGTAGCTTCAAACGCCAACCCAGCCTTCGGCGGAGTGGGTGACCGGAGCTCTGGTCAATTGCTCCAAAGCTCGAGCGTGTGACAGCTCGAGAGATAGATTGGGTGGGAAGAAGCTGGAGTGACGCAGTTGCGTGCGAGGCCGGAAGGTTGGCGTAGCTCGTGGCCGCCCCACTCGAGCACATGTCAGCCATGTCAGTCAGTGGATGATTGGGAGAGCTCAAGCTTCGTTTGTCAACGCCACACGCTTCGGCGCAAAATACCAAGACGCGACGACCTCGCAAATATCTGCACTCACCGGCCAAACCAGACGTGTTGACAAGTCTCCGTTCTTTTCAAAGAGAAGTGTTAGCCTCACAAAATGAGAGTCACCATAAAGGAATGGAATGCCGTAGCTACTTGGCGTTGGGACATCCCCGAAGACGACGTGTGTGGCATTTGTCAGGTTCATTTTGACGGCACTTGCCCAACATGCAAATACCCCGGCGATGACTGCAGCCTGTGTGAGTCCATTTTGACCCCAAGGATATTCACTTACAGCGAATTGTAGCCTAACGCGTTCTCATAGTGTCTGGTAAATGTGGCCACAATTTCCACATGGTGAGTTTGTTCGTGCAGCTGTCCCAAAACGCGTTCAATTGCTGACAACATCCTCACAGCACTGCATAATGGAATGGATCAAGCAAGAATCTGCTCGTGGGCAATGCCCCATGTGTCGGCAAAGTATGAATCCACTCATTGTTGGCGAACTTACAGCATCACTGTACTGACTATTACGTAGCTTTTGAGTGGACTGACCAGGCCAACGACAGCGCCTCACAAGGGGAATAAAGGCAGAGGATATGCGAAACGAGATATGTTTAGAAGAGCACATTATTGCATTCCTACTCTGCTATAGTGCTATGGTAAAGAAGCTCAACTATCCCATAATTGGAGCCTTGCATTCACGACCTCTCTTGCAACTACGGTGCTCGACACCTCACCCGGCGCACCATTACCAGTACATTTCTAAACCTCTGGAACATAAACACCATCTTTACACAAAACCACGATCTTCTTGAAGAACCGACGCCATTCGAGGGGATCTCCCTTGACTTTGACGAAGCGCACGTCCAAGACCTCGCTCCCATCGGGCAATGGCTGCTTGTCGATTTGAATCTCCCCATGCAAGTTCTGTTGCCTGCCGTCGATAGCCTTCACTTTCAAGTTTGCCATGGGACTGCCATACAGGTTTGGCGTCACTGGCGCAAGAGGCACATTTAACTGGTGGAGGGCATCACTAAGCATCTGCACCAGATGTGTGGGAGGAACATGGGAGAAGAACCGTGTTAAAGACTCAGGAGGGCAAATGTCGCGGAATCGACGCGCCTGCTGGGTGAGTGTCATTGATGGACCAGGAGTGTGAGAGAATTGCGACATGGAGGGCTCGTCGGCAAGCGTTTCAAGAACCATTCGGCGGCTATCACTGGCATGGGAAGGCAGTGACGAGGCCGGTGCAGCCATGGATCGCAGGACGGGCCGTTCCCAGTCCCAATCTCTATCGATGATGGGTACTTCGGGCTGTGTTGAGGAAAATTTGCCACTGTTGAGGCCTGTGTCGACATCCATATCATCCCCGCCGGCAAGGTATTGCTGTTGCGATGCTGATGGCAGCTGAGTAAAGTCGATACGAAGGTTTTCTAGCATCTGTGTGGCAAGGTTGATAGGATCGGTAATTTTACCATCCGGAGTCAAAAGAGAGTTATGCCGTGTATACCACGGATGTTGCCGTACTTGTCGGAAGCTAAATCGCTTCTGGGGATCTATTGACATCATCCCCCGCAGAAGTGACAGGGCTTCTTGGGGTATCCTCCCCCAGAGCGCATCTGAACTGTGACCTGACGTCTTGACATACTCGTTAAACTCCCAGCTATTCGACGACGGCTCGTCCCAGGGGGTGTTTCCCACGAGAAGAACAAATAGAATGACACCACAAGACCAAATATCCACCAAGTCGGATGAATACTTTCCACTGCCGGCGTTCTTCTTATCGACCCTGCCGCAGGCCAAAATCTCGGGTGCAATATATGGTGGACTCCCACATAAGGTAGAGCTTGTCTTTCTCTGACCCTTGTATTCGAACATGGTTGCCATGCCAAAGTCTGCAAGTTTCAAACTACCATCTGAGGAAAGCAGGATATTCTCTGGCTTCAAGTCTCGATGAGCGACGCCCTTGGAGTGCATGAAGCTCACCCCGCTGACAAGTTGGGTAAAGTACAGCTGAGCGATATCTTCTCGGACTCCGATATCCGCTTCGATCTTGTCAAAGAGATCCCCACCCTCTGCAAACTCCATTGCTATCCAACGCCATACCGCGTCCTCTCCCGAGGCAAACCACTCGATGATGTTGGGATGTTGACCTATGTGGGAGTGCAGGGAAACCTCCATGGCGAGCTGTTTTGTTGAAATTCGGCCATGTTTAACAGCATAGCCCTTGTGGATGAGTTTGACGGCAAATACAGGGTTGGCGGCATCTAGGGGAATGGCCTTCTTGATGCTGGTTGCAATGTTAGTATCTTGAGTCGCCGAAGAGCCATGTTTGGCAGTCAAGGGTTGTGGCGGCGGATAAGTGATACATACGAGGCATAGGCTCCTCGACCAACAGTCTTGGAGACAATGCGGAAGGGAAGTTCCTTTGGTAAGGGGTCTAGTTGAGACTATAGGAGCATGTCAGACTAAGTGATTTAATACTGGACATCGAATTGAGCAGCCTTGGTGCGTTGCAGCCTGGGCAGTGTCTCTGAAGAGCTGACTCGCCGTAGTCAGAGGCGATCACGTCTCATGTGCAGTCCACATATGGTGGCGATGTGGCGGTTGGGCAGTATGGATGAGGCTAAATTCAGGATTGCACAGATAGATGTCTTCCGCAAGCGGCTCGAGGTCTCAAGTATTGTCCAAACCCAGGACAGCGTAGGCAGAGGGAGTGCTTCTTTGTGGGGGCCCTAGCTCACCATTTCGAACCCTAGCAGCCGTAGCCCTCAATAGTTCAATCGCTGGACGTATATTGCTTTGAGTCCGCCTTGCTTGGTAGAGAGGGTGCGTGAGGCGGATTCACGGCAAGTCGTAAAGAGTGCGGGTGATGCCCGCGACTATGCCGTGATGACGGGTGAGTCGCGTGAAATTTTGTTTCTTGAATAAAAAACAAAACAAAACAAAATATAAACGGACAATAAGACAAAAAGTCCTTGAGCCGTGTATGCCAATGATAGCCACTAGCCGGCGTATTGTTCAGACACCATAGAAATGGAAATATGCAGGAATTTGGTGCAGGGTACTCGACTCTTCACCAGTCAAGCGATGGTCGGCCGTGGTTCACGTCTCGAGTCACGGCCCAAAGTCTGGCTCTATTTACCGGATGCGGGTGGTCGCGTCTAGCGCGTCTACCCGCATCACCGCGTAAAGCCGCGACTGGCGAATATGATTGGCTGCCCTGCACCGTTCAGTGGCTCATTATGGAGCCAACAGTGGTTTCAGTGCCTGAAGCGAGTCCACGCAGCCGTGCGCGTCGATTGGTCTCACCGCTGGTTGACCCTCTGCGGCTACTTGCTAAATTCAACGTTGCTGCACCCCCCAGTCCGTCACCCCTCCGTTGCTGGGCAAACAGGAGAGCCTCCGGGCAACCACTTATTCCTCTGCGTCCTGTCGACTTGCCATAAAAACATGCATGGACACCGTGCCTTTTGAATTGAGAAATTATCGCATCGCAAAAGGAAGGCTGGGGAATTGCATTATTTACCTATACTTGTCTTGGCTTTGCTTCATTTGGTCCTGCACTTCTGAATCGTTTTCCTCCAGCCCACACCTTTTGCCTCGCGCGTTCTTAGAGCTTCAACTCGACACGCACTCGCCCTCCACCACACCCCGTCCTACTTACCTTTAAGGGCTGGATTCCTCGGCTTCTGTCTCGGCCGTCTACTTCCTTACTTCTTCCCTAGTCAACGGATTTCCCACCCCCCCAAACTGTCAACTCCGTTCTCGTCGAAGCTGAGACTTTGACCGCTAACGTCTTGGGACTATCTGCCGTTCAACACTCTGCCGAACTTCGTACAGAGCCTCGCCATTGTTTTCTTCTTGTAGTCTCGATGACAATGGATTTCGCCACGGAGGATAACCAGAATTCTGCCCCTGGCAGTGTCCCTGCTACGAAGCTCAATACTTCGAGAAAGGGCCCAGATTCGCAGAGCGTTACCAAAAGGTATGTTTCGTTCGCTACCCAAAATGGCCCTACTCGATACCAAGTCATGGTTGTTGCAAGCCAATCACGAAAGTAAACTATTAACACTCATATCCTGTTAGATTGCAAACTGAGCTTATGCAGCTCATGACTTCGCCTGCTCCTGGTGTCTCCGCGTTTCCTTCCGCCGATGGCAATCTGCTGTCGTGGACGGCCACCATCGAGGGACCTGACGATACCCCCTACGCCGGCTTGACCTTCAAGCTGAGCTTCGCCTTTCCCTCCAACTATCCATATGCTCCCCCCACTGTCCTCTTCAAGACGCCCATCTACCACCCCAACGTCGATTTCTCAGGCCGAATCTGTCTTGACATTCTTAAGGATAAGTGGACAGCTGCCTACAACATCCAGACTGTTCTCCTGAGCCTCCAAAGCCTGCTTGGCGAGCCCAATAAGTAAGTTGCCGCTTCTTCCATACTGACGAGGCCACTGTGAATTAATCCAATGCTGACTTTGATCACAGCTCCTCACCTTTGAATGGAGAAGCTGCTGAGCTGTGGGATTCAAATGCCGAAGAATTCAAGAAGAAGGTGATGGGGCGCCACCGAGACATTGAGGAGGAATAGGACGCATACACTTGTTTTGTGCATTGGGAAATACCTTTTGTTGCATTTTGTCAATTCAGGAGAACTGGAGTCTTTTGGGAAGCATGCCTCGGTCAGGTTAATCATGGTACATTGGGTTTGCAGTTGAGTCTCTCCACGAAGCTACATTGGACGTTAGCTGGCAGTACACTTCTGGCTTGAGAGGGTGAAGCAGACCGAGTTCGTTGGCTCGAAGGAACGCTTCGGCCAACATTGATCCATGTCTTTTAGAGTGGGAGACGTATTTATCAATTTATCCCTCATGGGTAGCCGGACTTGTAGCTCTAACACGACAACCCTTTATTTTATATGTTGAATTTCGAAGTTTGACCCGGTGAAATATGATTCGCATTGCAATACATTTCACTAAATATCCTTGAAACAGCCGTGGGAATCAAATGTACTCATCACATTTAGGATGCCAACAACACCTCGACCATGACCCCGAACCCTCCTCTCTCAGGAAGCAGTAGAGGAAAAAACATCAGTCACATTTTGCCCTCAGTGTATATAATTTTTTTTCTTTTCCGCATGAAAAGCTAGAAAAAGCCCGGTTGCAACTCCAAAATGCCATGCCACCTTTAGAACCAGTCCCAACTTCAGAGAAACATCCCTTTTCGCATTTATTCCTCAACAACGACCGTGGGAAGGCCCTTGGGGTTCTTGACATTCACAGCCTGAACGTAGCTGTACAGCTTCTCCTTGGCGTCCTCCTCATCATTTCGTCGTCGAGAGATCCGGACACGGAGTCTGAAGGGAACGCCCTTGATACCACACTCCCAGACCTTCTTGTTCAGCTGGGGATCCAGGCGAACATCGTTGGTGCCCTGTAGAATTTGCTCGGTCAGTACTTCTGCATGCGTTTAAAGAAGAAATGGACAGATCTGTCTCCGGCGGACATGACGCTTTATAGTATAATGGCCGTTATGCGAGTATATCGTCTGTCCGTAGGATTGGATCGCAAATTCGTAGGAGAGGAGGAATCTAATCGTACCATAGCCTGGGTGGCGAAAGCCTTGATCTCCTTGATGGCACGGGGGGCTCTCTTCTTGAAGGTAACACCATGCAACTTTTCCAACACTGTTAGCCAAACATTGTTCCAAAACCGCTATTTGTCTTCGGTGACATCCATCGTCAAACGTACTCTCTTGTGGAGGTGGATGGTGTACTCGCGAGCGACGACATCCGCAATGGCGGAGCGCTGGGCCTTGCCGGAGGTCTTCTTAGCGGACGACATTTCTGAGGTCTGATGTCAGTTATTTTTTTTTTTTTTTCAATTCTCGTTGGCAGCGACTCGGAGTGACGATGAGGCGGGCTCAAGCATGAAGATGTTCAATAGCTGGAAGAAACTAAAGAACGAATTCAATCTCGCGCAAGAGGGTTGGGAAGAGAGTATTCTCTTTTGGGGGCACCGGTTCGTACCTGCGGATCGTCTCGTGGGATCTGGCGTTGAGGAGGTTGTGATGTCGGAGAGCCAAATTCCGCAAATTCTTTGTGCGTAGGGCAGGCTCGAATTGTGGTAGTGGGGAGTAGCGAGCCAATCATCTGGGATGGAGCCTTGGACAAGCTGGTTACATCACGTGATGCGGTACGTACCATCTGGGACCTTTTCTGCCGCCCAGGAACCATGGTGAACGAAAAGTGGGTTCTTATGTCCGAGGAGCAAATTAAATGGCTGAGAACTTGGTTGGTAGATGAAGGGGCGTCGATCCACGTCAAACCAAGCCTGTTTACCAGTCACGACCTGATTCTTGAAGAGGTGCTCCCTGGAGACATCTGTGTTGTCCGACACCGAAGCCTGGGAGCTTCTGCGTAATCGAAGCCTCTCCTCTTGTCTCCTCTCATTCCCAATTACAAGACGACTAGCAACATCTGCCCGATTTCCGACGCCATTTCTCGTTTCTCATTACTCACGAGCTTTGCGCTGTTGCACGGACTCGGCACCAAGGACACCCTTTGCGTGTTTGATTGGCTCATTTTAGGGGTACAATCGTGAAACGTTGGGCAGACAAGTCGCTACGCTGGGTTTTCCCATCTCCAACACTCCCCCAGCCATTCGCCCGTCTGCATCATTCGAAAGTATCCAGTCGCTCGCTACTCGTAGGCACGTTCAGCCGATAACTGTCAACATGGCCGATAATGACCGCCTGGCGACGCCGCCGCATCTACCAGATGTGGCGAGAAATCGACTCCCGACGCTTTTTGAAGTGCTGAGCCGGCGAACGCTGCCACCGGTGGACTTGTTTTCATTCTACATTTATATGCGAGACCAACAGAGGTCAGTTGATTATCTCGATTTCTGGCTGGATGTCGCCCAACACATGTCGCTGTGCCGACACTATGTGCGCGAGCTGCGACGATCTGTTCTTGTTGCGACGCCGGACATTGAGAAGACGAATTCAAAGCGATCATCGCAAATTCTGGAGAATATTGGGGATTTGGAATCGCGCCCAGCTGGACCGTCAATGTATTCGACCGAGAAGGAGAGGGACCAAGATGCTCAAATGTCAGCCTTTTTGCGCGAGGAACAGACCCAAGACTCCCCTCACAGTGGCTCTGGTATTGCCCGACCCAGCCCTCCCTTCAGCACGCCTCGCGATTTGACTGATTCGAACTCGCCATCTCATACTGTTGCCCGACAAGATATCAGAGCATCTGCGGAGAAGATCTTGTATACCTTCCTGCTTCCTGGGGCAGAGCGAGAAATTACCCTTCCCGGATCTATTACGCAAGATGTTACGACTGCCATTGAGGAATATGGCCGCGATGATCCAGAGGTGTTCGATGTTGCCAAAGACTACGTTTTCCAAGCTATGGAGCGGGATGCCTTTCCTGGGTTCTTGAGGATGAAGGCCCTGGGCAACTTGATTCCTCCTACTCTTGTGATGCGTCTTATCATTGGACTGGTTTCTATGTTTGGAGCGTTTTGGGCAGCATTCATTCTCATATTTCTGGACAAGTCTCGTCAGACGAGATGCTGGGTGCGTGCACTGTGGTTCTTTCTTCTTTCACATATAACCGAAACGGCTGCTAATGAATATGCAACAGCTCATACTGCCATTCACCGTTGGTGTCTATTTCTTATCCTCGTACCAATACTCGTTGGATCCGATCATGGCCCTCATTGGCTACAGTGAATACACGCCTTTTAATTTTTCGCGAATTCGAGAACCCTATGTTCGTCAGCTTCTTGCCAAGCGAGCCATGATGGTATTGGCCATTACCATTCTCATCGATGCGGCTCTTTGCGTTCTGTTTATTCTCGTACCAGGCAAGAGGCTGTGAACCTTATTTGATATCCCACTGCAACCCCGGCCATGGAAATGACTGCTTTTTCTTTTCGCACTGGCTTGCTATTAATAAATAGTCAATTGGCATTGTCATTTCTCAGACGTGGTGAGCCAGGACTAGAGATTTCTAATGACCGCGACGACTGAAGCCACCACGGTGGAATTTGTTCATTCTTTTCATATCTTCTCTATACATGTATGTATTCAGACAGGCACTGAGCTTTGGCGTTTGGCATGTTTCTCCGTTTGAGGCCAATCGGTCCATTTATTAAATATCCCCGTTTGAGGACTCCTTGTTTCCTTGTTTAGCCTGTTCCTTACCAAGCAAGTGTTTTACAATTATATATGTATGAAATCCCGCAGGGATATCTCTCTAGGCAGCATTTCCTTTATACAAAGCGGCCAAAAAGTAAGCAAATCAACAAATCAAAGCAAGCTTGAGTGGACAATGGAGGGAAGATATCGCAGAGAATAAAAGTCTCTTGTTGTCTATTATTATGTTTTTGTCTCGTCTACTTCGTGATACGGTGGTTTTGTAACCTTGGGGGAATGAACCATGCGCTATACCCGTGCGTGACATTGCATCGTATTCCATGACTTTCATTGATTTCTCATCGAGGAGAGGCCCTTTACATCTTACGCTTACTCGACCGCTTCTTCTGCTCTTCGACAGCAGGAGGCTCATCTACATCCATTGTCTCCTCACTTGTGACATTGGTAGCGTCCACCATGGATCGCTTATTATAGCCTCTTCTGGGAAGGGCATCCCGTCCCGGCAAATCCTTCTTCTTATCCGAGTCCCATGCTTCTGACACGAGGGCCTGGATCCTATGTTCTGCCGCCCTTTTTTCCTTTTCACGCGCCGCAGCAGCAGCGCGGATATTTCTAATTTGGGCTTCTAGATCACCTAGCGTGGAGGCGCATTTCTCTGACCAGTTGCTCAGGGCGGCAATCATGTCCGGGATGGACCCTGGCGAGAGGTCGCGCAGCGGTGCCACGCTGTTTACTTGTACTGCTTGACGGGCTGGGTCGAGAGTGGCGTGGAGTAAGCCGGCATATATGACGGTGACGACGAGCTCTTCCAGCTGCCTCGCTGATGTGAGCCCTAGCGCTTTCTGGAGGGCCTCGTATGACAGGTTTGACCTGTCTCGGGCGAGTGTGAGCAGAGAGAGTTGGCGGAGCTTGAGCGTCTGAGGCTCGCTCAGCGGTGGGAGATTGGGCGTGTCATGGTAGCTTTGGTACGTGCCGTACGAGAAGATTTGAAGGAGCGTCAGGTGGGATGCAAACTCGGGGTTTTGGGAGAGGGCTTGGATTTGTGGTTGTTGGAGGAGCTCTGCGAAGATGTAGGTGTTTGGGGAGGAGGTGGCTCGCGTGACGAGGTCGGCGGCGGCCCGGGGAGATGTGGCCGATTTGGAGAGGGCGAGGAACGGCTGTGGTGGAAATGTGCCTGTTAGTAAAATGATGCTGTAGATCCATACAACAAGGGGACCAACCTCGAGGGTGTTCAAAGCCTTGGTTTGCTCCATGGCAGCTCTGGGGTGCTCGGGGTCACTGGTCTTGACCTCCGGCCCGAGGCGACGCAGGCGTGAAGAAGGAGAGAAAGGTACTGGCGGCGGTGCGAGCACAGGACCCTGGTGGAGCTTGCAAAATAGCTACTATGAGGCAGGGCCGCAGGTGTGTGTCTGATGGGAGAGCTGAAACCCAATAGTTCTGTTCCTGGAATAGATGCGAGATCTCTGGGCGAAATGGGGTGACGGAGGCGGAAGATGCGGCGCCGTCCCTTGAGCGTATCAGACGTGTTTGAGGCCTCACAGACGTCCGCCAAGGGACGAGCAGCAGTGGTGTTTGTTGCAGGCGAGCCTCAGGCGGGGCACAGGCGGGGGGTCCAGCCAGTTGACCCAGTTCTGGTTCGGTTCTGGTTCGACTTGTCCAGTCAATGTGCTTTGACTGTCTGGTGAGCTGGAAGTGCACGGCCAACGGAATTGAGTTTTGAGAAATTAGAGGGTCGAAGGGGTTCTCGCTACAAGATCGCCCCAAATCCATTACTCATATACCTGGGTACTAGTACTAATGATGCCTATTCCCATCATACGAGTGTTTATGTGAAAGTCTGGCGTGGCTTGGGCACGGAACCCAGACCGTGGGCTAAAGACGCCGATATTGAAGGTTGAGGAGGGACTCAAAGCAGCGGTATGTACATGTGGAAACAAGCATTGTGATGTGGACAGTGGTAGTCGGTGTTTCGCACCATTTTTCTCGTTTCGTCACTCTGGATGACACACACACGATCGGCTAAACAGACCTCGTGCACTCGCCTGTCGCGAAAGAAACAGTCTCAAGATATGGACGGATCCAGGCAGTTGGCAGTGGTAGGCTGGCTGAACGGAATCACTCGGTGCCGTTTTGAGGGGGAGGCGTTTTTTCTGCAACAGATTGGCCTCTTGACCCCAAACGATCCGCGACAGAGAGGCGGAGGCGGCGAGAATGTGCCAATCATGTCGAGGAGGAAGCTCTAGGCTTACGGTGGCCAAGGCTTGATTTGGCTAGGACTGAAAGATTTGATGCATCACGCAGATTTCATCCATCTTTTGGAGGAGGAGGCACTTGCTGCTTGCATATTGGTGACTGTCCTGACATATTAACGCTTGCACGATACTTGTATCATGCGTGTAATTTCATTGACTACAGAGCGAAACAATTAAAAAAAAAATAATAACATGTCTAAGTAGGCAACATTGAAAGTACCTGCCTGGATATTCAATCTAGCTCGATACGCCCACGCTGCAGGGATAAGCAACGGCAGCCGACCGGGATGTGGTTTGTCGACAGTGTGCGAGATTTCTAAGCTAGGGCCGTGCATGCTGTGGTACTACAATCAATCTAGTACGGAGTACTCCGTACCTTGATCATCATTCTGCCCTTCCCGCCCTTCCCGGCCTTTTGCGGCCTCGAGGCCGACCGGGGGGGAGGGGGGTCTGTTGCAACCACACATGGATGAAGCGCAAAGCTTGCAAGTTCAAGAGCAAGTTTGTCCGTGTCCAGACTAACTTTCAATATTTCTGGACCCCTTCCGGCCGTGTGCGTTTGCACCGCCTAGTGTCCTTTAGCATGGAGCAATTGGTATGTACGGCAGGTACCAGACTCAGGAACTTAAGTGCCGAGGTACCTACTAGGTACTTTGTCGCGTCGATGGTGCGGGGCGTTGGGCGGCATACCGGACGGTACCGTTAAACTTCTGGCGCTGTAACCTGTGACCAAACAGGTCGCAGCGCAAGTGTCACCCACCTTCCAGTTGTGCTGTTGTGCAGCTGCTCTTGTCTAGCGTCGTTGTCCCGGCCAATCCTGGACCGTCCGAACCCTTGCGACCCCCGTCTATTGTGACAATGTCCCGGTCTATTAAAATCCCATATTACTGTACGGATCTTCCACCGTCCTGACTCTCGGAGGGCCTTTTTTTTTGTGTTTTCAATCCCGCCTCCGTTGTTCCTCAACGCCTCGACGACAGTTTCTACGACCCGAGATCCCCCGTTATCTATACACGTTCGAGAGCCCGGTGCTTTCTGGTGGTGGTGTTCCTTTGTTCTTTCTTGTTGCGCCGAGCAGGGCCCCAAGTGCCGGACGGTTATTGCACCATTGAGCCAGCTTCTCACGAATTAGTCCAACCGCCCGATATGGTCTCACAAACCCGGTAACAACGTCGATCAAGTGTAAATACCTCCCCCTTTTGCGCCGACGAGAATAAGAGATATAGCCTCGTCGCTGGACGACTGCTGTGGGCCAAACTGAGTCGAGACAACCTTGCGACGCCACCCTTTGAGACGGATACTCCGTAACGGCTTCATCTATATCAGCAATGGCCCCGTCGCATATCGCCATCCCGCCTCGAGATGCTGGCGCTGTAGGAGCTTGGGGTGTATCCAAGAGTCCGCACGTGGCTACAACTACTCTCCGCGTTGAAGGCATGACGTGAGTACATTTATCTCTGAGCAATTGTTTCCCACCTTCTTCCGATGCTCCCGGGCAACATCTTGCATTATTCGGCAGCGGCGACTGGGCAATATCGCATCATAACACTCGCTAACCTGCTTTTGTTTTCATGTTCAAACAGTTGCGGAGCATGCACGTCAGCAGTTGAAGCGGGCTTCAAAGGTGTCGCTGGTATTGGCAGCGTCTCCGTCAGTTTAGTAATGGAGCGCGCTGTTGTTATGCACGATCCTCAAACAGTCTCTGCCGACCAAGTTCGAGAGATCATCGAGGACAGAGGCTTTGACGCCGAGGTTCTGTCCACAGATCTCCAAAGCCCTGTAGCCAGCCGGTTCACCGAGCAGAAGGGCAGCGTAAACGACCCCGGTTTTGTAACCACCACAGTTGCTGTAGAAGGAATGACTTGCGGCGCTTGCACATCTGCAGTTGAAGGCGGTTTTAAAGACGTTCCCGGTGTTAAAAACTTTAGCATATCGTTGCTGTCCGAAAGAGCAGTAATTGAGCACGATCCCGCCCTTTTAACCCCTGAACAAATCGCAGAAATCATCGAGGACCGCGGTTTCGGGGCAGAGGTTCTAGACACGACGAAATCAATGCGCGAGGCCGGGAGCGATGAAGCGGGTGCTTCGCAAAGTGATATTGCAACGACAACGGTGGCCATCGAAGGCATGACATGCGGTGCTTGCACAGCGGCCGTTGAAGGGGGTTTTAAAGGCGTTGAGGGCGTTTTGAAATTCAACATCAGCTTACTGGCAGAGCGTGCCGTCATCACCCACAATGTGTCCAAAATTTCCCCTGAGCAAATTGCAGAGAGGATTGAAGACCGCGGGTTCGATGCCGCGGTTCTCTCAACCCAGTTCGAATCCAGCGACCTTGGACCTCTGGCGTCAACAGCTCAGTTTAGAATCTATGGCAACCTCGATGCCGCCGCCGCCCAAGCGCTAGAGACTAAGCTCAAGTCCACCCCTGGCATAAGATCAGCCACGGTGAGCCTTTCCACGGAAAGACTCACAGTGACCCATCAACCGGGTATTATTGGCCTTCGGGGGATTGTCGAGGCTGTGGAGCAAGAAGGCCTGAATGCCTTGGTTGCTGATAGCCAGGACAACAATGCACAGCTTGAATCTTTAGCCAAGACGCGAGAGATCACTGAATGGCGCACCGCGTTCAGAACGTCCCTGACCTTTGCGATTCCAGTCTTCATCATTGGCATGATATTGCCAATGGCTTTACCTTCCCTCGACTTTGGCAAGCTCTTGTTGATGCCTGGTCTCTATCTTGGAGATGTCATATGTCTTGTTCTTACGATACCCGTCCAATTTGGCATTGGCAAGCGATTTTACGTGTCAGCATACAAGTCAATCAAACATGGATCCCCCACCATGGACGTTCTTGTCATTCTGGGCACTTCCTGTGCTTTCTTTTTCAGCGTCTTTGCAATGCTTGTTTCAATACTGATCCCTCCACATACGAGGCCAAGCACAATATTTGACACCAGCACAATGCTGATTACCTTTATTACCCTTGGCCGATTTCTGGAGAATCAAGCCAAAGGACAAACGTCCAAGGCATTGTCTCGCCTCATGTCTCTGGCACCCTCCATGGCCACAATTTACGCAGATCCCATTGCCGTTGAGAAAGAGGCCGAGGCTTGGGCTAAATCTGCAGAGGAGGTCAAAACTCCTAAAACCCCTCAAGGACCACCAGAACTTGGCGGCTCGTCTGCCTACGAGGAGAAGTTGATCCCCACAGAACTGCTCCAGGTTGGCGATATTGTCATTATTCGACCTGGCGATAAGATCCCGGCAGATGGCTCGTTGGTCCGTGGTGAAACTTATGTTGATGAGAGCATGGTTACCGGAGAAGCAATGCCAGTTCAGAAACGCCTCGGAGCCAACGTGATTGGAGGAACCGTTAATGGCAATGGCCGCTTCGACTTCCGAGTCACTCGTGCTGGCCGAGATACCCAGCTGAGCCAAATTGTGAAGCTCGTCCAAGATGCGCAGACTACGCGAGCTCCAATCCAGCAGCTGGCCGATACTTTGGCAGGCTATTTTGTGCCCACCATCCTTATTCTTGCGCTCCTCACCTTCATGTCATGGATGGTTCTGAGCCACGTGCTGACGAATCCACCAAAGATTTTCTTGCAAGATGCCAGTGGTGGCAAGATCATGGTGTGCGTGAAGCTGTGTATCTCGGTCATCGTCTTTGCCTGCCCCTGCGCTCTCGGTCTTGCCACACCCACTGCTGTCATGGTAGGCACTGGCGTCGGGGCTGAAAATGGCATACTGATTAAAGGAGGCGGCGCCTTGCAGAGAACAACAAAGGTGACTCAGGTCGTCCTCGACAAGACGGGAACTATCACACACGGCAAGATGAGCGTTGCTAAGTCTACACTTGTGCCTCTTTGGAGAGACAACGAGTGGCGGAGGCGTCTATGGTGGACAATTATCGGGCTTTCGGAAATGGGGAGTGAGCATCCTGTCGGCAAGGCTATTCTCGGGGCTGCAAAGGAAGAGCTTGGTATAGACCCGGAGGGCGCTATTCAAGGCAGCGTCGGGGAATTCAAGATCAAGGTCGGCCGAGGTGTCAAGGCCCTGGTCGAGCCAGCTTCATCAGCCGAGAGGGTTCGGTACAGAGTCCTCGCTGGTAATGTCAAGTATCTCGAGGAGAACGGTGTTGAGGTTCCAAGCGAGGCCATCGACGCTTCCGAAGCGATCAATGCTGCCTCTTCCAAGAGGACTCTATCGAAATCATCGTCCGCCGGGACTACCAACATCTTTGTGGCCGTGGATGGTAAATACACAGGACACCTCTGCCTGGCAGACGTCATCAAGGAGGGAGCCGCAGGTGCCATTTCAGTTTTGCATCAAATGGGTATCAAGACGGCCATTGTAACCGGTGACCAGCGTTCAACAGCACTTGCGGTGGCAGCTGCGGTTGGAATCTCGGCCGACAACGTATACGCCGGAGTCTCCCCCGACCAGAAGCAGTCCATTATTAAGCAGATACAATCCCAGGGAGAGATTGTGGCCATGGTAGGAGATGGCATCAACGACTCCCCCGCTCTGGCTACGGCTGACGTGGGCATTGCCATGTCGAGTGGTACCGATGTCGCGATGGAAGCCGCGGATGTGGTACTCATGAGACCTACGGACTTGATGAGTATTCCGGCTGCGCTTCACTTGACAAGGACCATCTTCCGGAGAATCAAGCTGAACCTTGCGTGGGCCTGTATATATAACGTCGTTGGTCTACCGGTGGCTATGGGCATGTTCCTGCCGGTTGGACTCCACATGCATCCAATGATGGCTGGATTCGCCATGGCATGCAGCAGCGTCAGCGTGGTGGTCAGCAGCTTGCTCCTCAAGTTTTGGAAGCGACCACAATGGATGAAGGACGCGGAAGCGGAGCAAACGGGTGGTCTTCGATGGGCGAGCGGAAGGGGTGTGCTGGGCTGGGTGAGAGAGATGCTTGGCCGGAGACGCCGGAAGGGCGAAGTGGGATATGTACCGTTACAAAATCTGGAGGCGGAGCATGCATAATGGTGGTTGAGCGTTACTTTGTCTTTGTTTGTACATTTGCGTTTGGACGACGTCTCGGATGGGTGGCGTTCATGTTGTGGCATGTTTTAGGGAAGACACACAGATAGAAGGAGGTATATTGGTGTGGTTATCGTCATCCGATGTGGCTGGATGATTTATTTTGTATGTATGTTGCTAGAATGCACATTCCGCCAGCAAGCCTCGATTTAACAAGCTGCCAGTAGTATTATACCCAATGCTTCCTTCCACGACTTTCCAACATGGGTATGCCGCCGCGCCGATCCATCGTTTGGTAGCCGCTCGTGGGAGCCACGGGCTCGCTGTCCCTCGTGGTCGAACCCGGCTCTTATTTCCCATATCCCCGGCTGCGAGAAAGGGGGGAGGGGGGTGTTTCCATAGCCATGTGGCCGGCCTGTACGAAGTAGTATCCAGGAGATGAAGACCTACGCCACAGTGGCCCAGTATTTTAGGTTGCGGCTTTAGCTTATGTACTTACTTAAGTAAGTACTTAGGTATGTACATGCTCTCTGTAGCCAGTAACATGGTGCATACTTACATATGCTTGGCCCAGTGTTGAATTTCTTGGTTCAATCTCCGGTCCTTAATCCCGGTGACTTCTGGCACACCGCGGCCACTCGGTATGCGTCGCGAACAATGAACTTGGGTCAAAACCCATTGCGTGATCCTGTCATTTGGGGCTTCCCCCTCCTCCTGGCAGATGAGCGCTAGTGGACATGGTCGACGGGCCTCGAGTGGGAAGAACCTTGTCTTGTCTTGTTATGCGCGTATTTTGTGTGGCAGAAACTCCGAGGCCTCACGCCCTCAAGTGCTGCGTGTCTTTATCTCGGTAGGCAATCTGATTTTGGAGTCGCGTGCCTGTGGAAAACGCATGGCGTGCTGGGCTGGGCGTTGCCGTCATGTTGTACATATTATCTGGTCAACACTTCACTTGCACTGTTTGTTGTGTGTACATGATCTTCTCGCCGTGGTGACAATGACCTGGGCAGTATAATAGTGCTCGGGGTGTCAGACTGGGTCTATACAAATGCTAATACTACACACATGCTACTTGCTGTATTTTGCATTCCGTGCCCGCTGTGTTAGTTGCCGCTGGAAAGGTGGAATCATGACTCTCGTAAATGTGACTTGCGGCTGTCAATGAAGGAGATTACAACATCGCCGTTTTTTATTTTCTTTTGGCATGGACCAACAGATAGCCAGTCGTAATAGTATACAAATTGCCCAAACGTCCAAGGAGCACAAAGCCCAAGGCACAACACATGTCTACAGAGAGTGACTTGCACCATGCCAAAAGGGCAAAACCACCAGCCCAAGTCCATTACTCTACAACCTTTTCTGACTCTGGTATTGACTCGCTTTTCCATCAAGTGTGCATCATGTACTCGTCCTCTTGAATCCCCGTGTCCTGCTGGCCCCAGAAGAGAAAGTCTTCATGATCGCCACACATGTCTTTCCAAGGAATAAACCTCCCGCCAACCTCTTCGTCTGACCAGGCGCCTCCGTATTCGCCCACTAATTTCTCGTCCCTGGGATAAACAGATTTGGCCACCCACCTCCGTCCATCTATCACATTGGAAGAGATGATATCCTCCTTTTGAGACGACCGAACAGACTCCCTGAGAAGAACTGGGACAAACGGATAGAACCACATCTTGCGGAACTCTGAATCAATAGAGTCTTTGGGCCCTGTGCAATGCCAGGTCCCGTAAATTTGTTTTGTTACAAAGTTTGTGGCAAGGCGCACTTGTCGCACCCAATTTTCTGCTGGCGCACCGGCGAGTGTCTTGGGAATAGAATTGTACAGTTTCATCAACGCCATTCGAACGTTGTTTGGCATCTGGACTGTGTATGGCACGAATTTCCTCCCCCGCTCAAACATGTCAACGTGTACTCGACTTGTGTAGGACTTGTTATTGTACTCGAGGTAGCCCAAAAACGGATCGTTTCCTGCCTGAGGCTGGAAGAGAGCTGAATCGTATTCGATGGCTATATGAAGCTCCGTCTCTTGTGATTCTGATATCTTCTCGGGAAGTATGCGATTCGGCGGCCCTCCCTTTACCTCTGACCCGTTAGCAATTTGCTTCGATCGCCAATATTCCTGCCGAGCCCAAACGTTGGCCAGATAATACTGGTCAGACTCGGAGTGCCGGAAGTAGGCATTGTGTGTCGCCGCAATCTCGTCCATGGTAGCATCTATCACTTTTCTCATGTCACCGATAGGACCCATGACGGTACCAGAGTTGAGCCAGCGGGGGTCTTTGGCGAATATGTCATGCGGCCCCTTATCTGTGCCGAAAGCATTCTCTGCCAGAAACGAGGGTGGGACAGCCCAGCAACGTCCAGCTGCCGGATCCTGTGGCCAGCAAATCTTGTCCGGGCCCCAAAAGACAGTTTGCTTCATGTCTCTTTCATGGAGTTTTGTGACGGAGATGCCCATTCGTTTTGCTAGGTGAATGTCGGCCTTTTGCGCTACATCAAAGTAGCGTTCGACCATGACCTCGACCGGGAGTTGTTGTATAATGTCGTATCCATCAACTATTATGACAAGATCGTCGTCTTCTTCTGGATCAAGAGAATCCAAATATCGCTTCATGGTACGTAATTTGGCGAGGTGTGTTTGGGCAGCATCAAGCTCCCCCTGACCATTCCAGCCTAGAAGCGTGGGAACTGGATATCTGTTGACTGCCGCCGAGACCAAATTGTAGCAAAGACGAAGGTTTGAGACACTTGCTGGGACCAGGAAGTGTAATCGAGATGTTTTCTCTTGGCCATTCGACTTATTCAAAGGGCGAATGGTGTTCATAAAGCGACTCTGAATTTGATCTTGTCAGTGTATTTTACCCCATGAGCCAGTCCAAGTGCCATCCTCACCGTGTCGAGGTGCCCCGATGTGTACAAGAGAGCTGCTAGAACCAAGGCCACGCCGACTGCCAGCACAATTTTGCGCCGCATCAAAACAATCGGCATCATGTCGTCGACTATAGGGACGCATTAGGTGGTTGAAACATGAGGTGATGACGTGACAAGAAGCTGGCGCAAACGAAGTCCTGCATACACGAGGTTGGAGGAACCGCAGCACCAGCTGCAATCTGAAGTTATGCAATGCTTGGGTTCTTGAAGGAACAAACGGTTTATCGATTAGATGCGTGAATGATTGGTCATCATCCTAATGGTGGAAGAGGTGGGCGACCCAGGAGAGAGAGAGACAGAGGCGTAGGGATAACCCAGCGACAAGTTCGTCCTACGAGACTATGTTGGAGTGTTATTAGGATGACGCAGACGCTTCCAACCGGTCGATGAGATACGCAGTACGTCCCCCAAGGCCGAGCCAGCATCCCTTCAGATCCAGTGGCAGGACCTTTTCTTCACGCTTCCAGTCCCAGGCGCATCGGCTGACTGGAGAGGTTCACAATATTTGTAGTAGGTTCTTTCAGTTGCCCTTCATCGATTGTTCGCTTATTACAGCAACTTTCCCGGGTTCATGACTTTGCCACTTTGAACTCTCCTCTGGCCACACTTGACCTGCCGTGGCCCGTAAAGTCCTCATGTCCTCATGTCCGGGGTCCGGGGTCCGGGGCCTTTCGCCAAAGTCCGTGGTATTGCAGGTCGGCGCAGGGTTGTATCGGCCAGACATGATAACGACCCGCAGGGGACACATGTACAACAAGGCGTGCAGAAGGCTCTCGTCTCGTGGGGACATGGGGCCGAGTCATTGGAGATAGACCGGCATTTAACATTATGGTGCGGCCCTGGATGATTATGATGAACACGTTCAGTCAATGCTGTAAAAGAATGGCGGACCTCGTGGCGATGGCCGGCCCTGGCTCCCCATTCTCCATCACCGTGGATCTGTCTAAAATTTAGTCAAGAAAATGGGCCATACAGAACTTTGAAGTTCCAATGGGACACTGGCGCCCATCCCCAGAGTGTCCGGTGTTTCTGTTTGAGGCCGGCGCTGGTGCGACGATTGGCGAGCCACCTCGGGCAAGTTTGCTGTTTGATCTCACAAAACCTGCCTCACCACCAAGACCCCTTCTATCTCTTTGTTCTTCAGGGAAAATCGTACTGCTACCTACCCACATCAGTAAGATGGTGCGCGATGAAGATATGGGGCCTTTCACATTATCGGCTGCGCCTTTCTCAGCATCATATTGTATAATACATACCTAGGTAGTCGCAAGAGCCGATCTACATGTAGGTAATAAATCGTTCACTGCTGGTGAATAATATCCAGCCTTTGATGCCTTAATTGTATTCAGTGTTGTAATGTTTCCGGTACTTGCCATTGCGGGTGTCGGGATTGACGAGGCAAGGTAGTACCATATGGTTCGTGTCTCCTCCGCGGCGCTGATCGACTTTCGATGCAGCGTCGTTGAATCAACCGATATGGGTACGCCTGGGACAGAGTTGTTAGACGACGACCTGCAACAATAGTAGTATCTATTTCATATAGAGCCTGGTTCCTGTTTGAAATGTCCTGTAGGTTCCGCACTGCGGGATATTGCAAAGACATCCGGTTCGTGGCGAAATATTTGGTTGTTGTGGATTGAGGAAGCCCTGTTCTCACGATACTGCGTTGCTACACCGTACCCCCGTCGCCAAGCAGTCTCTGATGCTTCACTCTCTGAAATGGCAGGGGGAAGGGGGCATTTTTCATTTTCTTGGCATTTGGGAAACCTCCCACAGAATCTGCACAAACTGTGTCGGCTGTCGCGGCTCCTTGTACGTGATATCCGGTATTATCCATTCGCCAAGCGCCAACATTCTGCCTCGAGTCCCTGACTCCCAAGCCCCGTACTCCGAATCCTACAGATAATAGGCGGATAGAGAGGCAGACGCTGTCTGTAGTTGTACTTGTACGAGGTCTGCAAACATGCCAAGACACCAGCCTTCGATGCAGGACCTATCGCATTGAATTCGGGACGACGCAAGACACGGCCTCATCATGGCCGTCTTGGCGAACAACTTGGCGCGTACAT